AGCTTGTGTTTGAAGGCCTGCGATGTGCACAGAGGAGCAAATGGATTGGTGATTACTTGTCACCAATGACCCTGTTTCCCCAATCCAAATAGCATTGTCACTCCCATTTTGAGCTGCATTTTGTGACCCCAAATACATAAGAAGGGCAGTGATGGGGCACCTTGGTGCTCAGTCGGTTAAGCGGTTAAGCCTCTGACTCAAGTTTGGCTCAGGTCACGATCTCAGAGTCCTGGGATGAGCCCCACATTGGGCTCCACGCTCAGCGGGTGGTCTTTTTCTCCCTCTGTGCCCCCCCGCCCCGGCCGCTCGTGCTCATCTGCACGCGAACTCTCTCTCAAATAAAAATCTTTAAGAAGAAAAGAAAGGGCAGTGACATGGAGCTATGTTATTATATTGGCAACGTCATGATTTGAGATTCTACCTAGAACTGATTATCCAGAACCAATCTAAACACCAGAGGTCTCTTCTTCAATACAAAATTGAGGGTTTAGCCATTATTTGAAAGCACATCAAGCATATGTTGTCTCCCTAATTGCTCCTGGGCTTAGGGGCCAAATCAACTGACACATGTGTATTGGGTACCAACCCAGTTGAAGCCATCATCTTCTACCCTCAAAAAACATGCATGCTAAAAATTTGGGAGAAAAGACACATGTGTGAAAAATTAAATAATATTACCTTTAAAATGAAAATTCAGGAGAACAAAAGACTTGGTATAGGCCAGTGGTGGCAGGTTGTGAGAATCGTGATTTCAGCAAGTTGTCAGTTTGGAGGAAAGAAGTGGCTACCAATTCTGGGATCAAGCTATGTGCATATGGCCCAAGTCACTGACAATGGAGGGCCAGTCTGCAAGAATTTCCTCCATGACCCCCATTTTGTCTCTTAAATATGACTCTAAATGCTGTATTTTTTTTAAAGATTTTATTTATTTGATAGAGATTAAAAGTAGTCAGAAAGGCAGGCAGAGAGAGAGAGAGAGAGAGAGAGAGAGAGAGAGGAGGAAGCAGGCTCCCCGCTGAGCAGAGAGCCCGATGCGGGGCTCGATCCCAGGACCCTGAGATCATGACCTGAGCCGAAGGCAGAGGCTTTAACCCACTGAGCCACCCAGGTGCCCCTAAATGCTGTATTTTTAATACATCACTGTAGACTTGGCTTTGATCAGACATATTTAAGCAACTGGTCAGTTACTGGTCAGTTGGGTGGCACTTGGGAAAAGGTCACTGTCTGCGGCGTTCCGAGGCTCAGTGTGGGCGTAGTTGCTCACAGTGGGCCCCAGGACCTCAGGAGTGAAGGACCAAAGGGTGGCTGGCTGCCTTCCCTCCCTGCTCTCAGCAGGACAGAGAAAGAGTGAACTGCGTGGACTCTCGAATCAGAAAGCCTGGGCGGGGCTCTCCTTTATGTTCCTGTTCTCTCTGTTCTAGTTCGTAAGTTACCATCCTGTGCTTTGTTCTTCTCATCTCAATAGGCTGATAATGAGACCTGTTTTAGAAGGCAGTTATAAAGGTTAAAATGAGACGCTGAATGCAAAAAGTGCTCAGTAATTGTTAGCTGCAACAGAGAAAATTTATTGGACTTATGTGTGCCATGCTCGGTGCAAGGCTTTTTATTAGGGGCTGTGGGATTCAGATGGTAACAGTAATGGTGATTATAGCTCACACTTGTCCAGTGCTTACTTTGTGCCGGCCTTTATCTATATTATTAAGCCCTCAAGTCCTTTAGCCTTGAGCTAAGTAGTACACAGTCCCAGGAAGTCACGGCCCGTGGTGGCAAATAAGCTGGCTCTGTGACTTCACAGAAGGAAGTCAGGAACAAGTAGATAATTACAGCATCGAATTCTACTCACAGGTGTTTCTCAATGCATACTGGTTCCCATCCCGTCTTTTTCTCTTTTGTGTTCTCATTGCTTGGGACGTGGCCGATCAACAGCATTATCTTTGGAAGCTGAGGATAGGTGGTTTCTGGTATGATCTTGTGAGGAATTGTCTGGTTCTGTTACACTCTTTCCCCCTCATTTCCACTAAGCCCAGATCTGCCTGGTCCAGATCCTTGATCTCACCAAACTGCTGGCAGAGTGGTGGAACTAAGGAATGGATGTTTGCTGTCCTCCCTGCCCATCGTCCATGGTGATGGTCTGTTTATTGAATGTTCAACTGAGTTATTTACAAGGCCAGTGTTCTCCTTAGTAGAAGAGTTCCCCTTTTGAAAAAGTGAGTTCTTTTCTGTTGCCTAACCTTGGCAAACACCCTTTTCTGGCTTTGCCATGCAAGTGACTAGTCTCCATCATGGATGACTTAGGTTGGCATTCAGGAAACACTTCCTTTTTGTCCTAGATCGGAAAAAGAGGAGAAGATAAGCCCACCCTTGACCATGAGTGAGTCCCAAATCCCTGGGTTTAATAAATGTGAAAAGATAGATGCCGTGGCCCATAGTTGCCTGGGCCAAAGGGAGCCCCCAGGCTTCAGACAATAGAGATGCAGGCTCATCTGTGCCCATCTTGGCCCCAAGGAGACATGCCACATCTGTTCCTTGCCTTGGACGAAGTGTGAAGGGAGTACTTGGGGCTGAGAATAGGCATCTGCCTTTGAATGGAGGCCTTGTAACGTGTTTTGCCTCTTGCCAAGGCAACCTCTTTCTATGAAAAATACCCTCTAAGATTTAGCCAGCCTGTAAGAATGCACTTATTCTGTAACAGATATGGGGTTTTTTGGGTCCGTACCTGATAGCCGTTCTTGTAATCTGCGGTGAACACCAGGCCTTCAGAATGGCGCTCAGGGATGTTTCACTCTTGCCGTGGAGTTAGATCTCATACAAACGGGACCACACATAGTCATACGTTTCAGCCTGGAAGGGGGACTCATTCATCAAAATGCAGAAACGTTTTATTTCTAAAGAGATGGGCCTGTAGTTACGTAACAGGTATGGAGAGGGAGGGAGGAGGAGTGGTTTAGCTCACCCCACAGACAGCATTCCTTTCTGACATCCAAGGATGGCTGGAAAGTGGAGCCCACTAAGGAATCAGGAACCAAATTGAGCTCCACGATTCTCCGCCTTGCCTTGGGGAACTTAGATCCTAGCTGTCAGAACAGGAAAAGGAAGGGGCTTTCTGACTGAAGGCACAAGGAAATCTAGTTGGGAAATACCTTCCGAGCTCTGGGGTTCATTACCAAAGCAGGGCCTGTGGCAGGTCACATTGCTGGGATCTGCTGGCTTGCTTCTGAGGTCACCTTTATGAATCTCTGTATCTCCACATAGAGAGGGCTAAAGTGACCCTTGTCACATTTTCTTCTAGAGTACAACACGTGGCTGCCAGGAGGAATCCTGGCTAAGAGAGATGCTTATTGCAAAATGAGTGATACAGAGGCTGACACTGTCCAAAAACATTCCAGCAAATATATACACACACACACACACACACACACACATATATATATATATATTTAAAGATTTTATTTATTTATTTGACAGACAGATCACAAGTAGGCAGAGAGGCAGGCAGAGAGAGAGGAGGAAGCAAGCTCCCTGCCGAGCAGAGAGCCCGATGCGGGACTCCATCCAGGGACCCCGAGATCATGACCCGAGCCGAAGGCAGAGGCTTTAACCCATTGAGCCACCCAGGCGCCCCCCAGCAAATATATTTAAAAGGAAAAGAGAAGGCCAGACGGCCTCCTGGGCAAAGTGGGGGGAGCTCTGAGAGCTTTGGCTACAGCTGGCCACGGGTGATGGGAGGAGACACAAGTGATCATCAGGGATTGGAATAAGTCACAGAGGTCACCCTGTGATACAGAACATGGGGACTTAGGGATGCTGATAATTCTTCAAGCTCTAGTTCCCAGACTGAGACCTAAAAGGTTAGGGAGGTCAACAAGTCCCGAGCCTACAGAGGAGAGGCAGCTGTGGTTAGGGAACCAGCCAGCAAGAACGTCTGTGCTGCTTATCCCTGCAGGAGTTGTTGGTAGGAGCCCTTGGTGGAGGCCGAGAGAAAAATACGGTGATTCTTATGGAACAGGTAACGGAATAGTGAGGTGGGGATTGTTGCGGAGCAGAACGAGAGATGGGAGCTCGTGGTTGCAGATAGAGGAGCTAGTGCCCGGGCTTCATAATGTGGCTAAGATCCACAGAACTCCTCATCCCAGCAGATTAGAACAAAAGACTTGTCTCTTCCCGAAGACTTGCCCATTTCATTGCATGGTATCCCTGTCCATTTGTGCGAAGCCCCAAGTCTAGGAGTGATTTTTAAATTTTCTTCTCCTTTTCTCTCACTGTGCATGGTCTGTCCGATGTCTCCCAAATCCATCCCTAACTGCCCTTCTGCTACAGCCTCGTGAGACTCCCATCGGTTCTCACCGAGACCACAAGCAGCCTCCCTGCAGGGCGCCCTGCTTGCGTTCTTGCCCTGTGCGTCTCATCTCTACACCACCCCCTGGGGCAGCTCCTCCATGGGCATGGACTACACTCTGAGGGCAGGGTTGGCCTTGGCTTACAAAGGCCCTTTCCTCTTGCTCTCTCTGCTCTTACCTTGTCCCGCTTTCGCTGGCCGTGCTTTATATCCATGGGTCTGCCTGTGCTAAGTCCTAATGTGGGCCCCATACACTAGTCAGTTCTGGAATGTTCTTCTGCCTCCTCCTTTACCCTCTTGCCCCAGCCATGGGCTCCTTCTTGTGTGTCTTTCAGACTTCAACTCAGGCACCCACGTCCCCTTCCCTGCCCTCCCAGAATGAACTAGCCATTCACTGCCTCCCATCTCACGACCTGGTTTGAATGGCTCGCCTGTTTCCGTCTCTGAGAACGGAAGCTTCATGAGAGCAGGGCCCTGGTAGACCCCGCCGCCCCAGCAATGCCGATCCAGAGGGAGAACACATTACCTATCAGTGGGTGAGGGCCTGGTCCTGCCATCCTTCGCCAGCACAGAGATGTACGCCGATGGCCTGGGGTCTCGCTGGGGACTTTCTCCTCCCACTGCGTTCCTGGGGTCTGATGCCTGGTCTCTACTTCCCTTGCAGCCGCCCCTGCCAGCTCCCTTTCCCGTCAACGGTGCAGCAGCATAGCCCGATGTCCTCCCAGAACCCCCCGGTCAGCGGGCCGCTGCACTCCGTGTCCTTGCCGCTGCCACTCCCCATGACCCTGGCAGGCCCGCAGCCCCCGCCAGCCGCCTCACCCAGCCAGCAGCTCGGGCCTGATGCCTTTGCCATCGTGGAGCGAGCCCAGCAGATGGTGGAGATACTCACTGAGGAGAACCGGGTGCTTCACCAGGAACTTCAGGGTTACTATGACAATGCCGACAAGCTCCACAAGGTACGTGACTTCCCGACGGAAGGAGAGGGAGAAGCAGGGTCTCTGGGAGCGTCAGAATTTTTTTACCGCTCATCAGGGGTGGACGCTCAGACCACGGGCCGGCAGTGACCCCTTTTTATGCCGGGCGCCGTGCAAAGCTTTAGGGAGACAAATGAATAAGATACAGTGCCTGCCTTGGAGAAGCTTCCAGTCCAAAAGAGGGAGCGTCCTCTGTGCTCATCCCTGCAGTAGAATGTCAGGTACGGGGTGGGGGTGGGGTGGCCCTGGACCCGAGACTCAAGAGTTCAGTCGTATTCCCCTGGGTGGACGGTGTGGAAGAGGGAGCACCAACAGGAGCACAGAGGAATGAGTTGAGAGAGACAGGGTTCTCAGGAACCATGTGATTGCCCCTTGGGGTTCATCAGCTGGGCTCTGCAGAAAGCATCGTGGCCTCAAGGCTGTGGGTGGAGTCCAAGTGACGGCCTGCTGTCCCTCCTTCTATCCGGCACTTGTCCAGCAGGGAGATGCCATGCGAGTCCAGCCTGTGTCCTTACCACGGGACTATTGGAGTGTGGGGCTTTACGCTGAGAGCCACCGTCAGTGGGAGAACTTCCAGCAGGATGAACTGCTGTAGGCAGTGATTTCATGATGTCCCATGTGTCAGGACCTGGAAGGCTTCCGGTTGCACGGGAGAGGTGAGGGGCACAGGCATCAGGATGTGGCAGAGCGGGAGGGCCACAGAGCCCTAGAGTTTCCTTTCTGGAGGCCTGGAGGCCTGTGTGGTGGAAGTGACCTTCTAGGGCTCTGAGTTCCTGTCTCTGTCCTGGACACCCAGGGGCTTTCATGAAGAGGAAAGGTCAGAATAGAAACCCCGCCTGACAACAGGAGCATTGCCATTTGGTCCCATGTGGTGGTTAGTGCTCCCGGCTGGCAGGCCTGAGTAGCATTCCCCTCTTAGCTGGTCTTCTCGCTGGTCAGCGTTTCTGAAGCGGGGGTGCCTCTTCTTTCCTGGCAGTACGTACTGGGAGCAGTGGGCTTGATGGTGCCAATGTTTTCAGGCAGAAACTGCGCCAGCACATTCGTGCAGAGCTTCCGCCCAAAGGGTCTGGAGCTCCCTGGAGTCAAGACCAGACTTGGCTCAGAGACCTCCGGATGCCTTTCCTGGAGGGGAGAGAATGAGAGCCAGAGAGGAATGGGCTGCCTGAAGTTTGCGGCCCCACCCCCACCCTGTTCGGACCCCAGAAGCTGGGAAACAAGCACGCTGTCTTGTGGCCTTGGCTGTAAGTCCCTGCTCAGACTCAGGCTTGCCTCAGACACCTACTGGGGCACGTTCCTTCTAGGCGCAGTCTGCACGTCGGGAAGGAGCTCCCCAGCCCCTCCTGGGAAGTAAGTCGTTCTTTCTCCTCCCTCATGAAGCCCTGTGGCAGAGAGGTCCAGGAGTTAGGCAGACCCACCTGAGGGCAGTTTGGTCCTGGGTCTTTCCACATGGATGTCTTTGAATAGTGGAAGGTGCAGAAGTTGGGAGGTCTTGTTATTCTTGGTTGATTTTTTTTTTTTTTTATTAACATATACTTTTTACTGACCCGTCACGAGCATCGCTGTCTTGATTTCGGTGCACATTTGAAAAACCAAATCAATCTCCCAGGGGCTCAGCTTCCCCACACAGGCAATGATTCTTAATCTCTGGGGTGAAAAGGATTTTGATGATTAAAAAAGGAAAAATCAAAAGCGGTTTCCCGTCTGGAACTCAAACTCCTTCAGTCCCTTGAATATTACAAATGGTTCTATGGTTACTCCACGTCATGAGTCAGTCATATGTCAGGCTGGAATTGCCAGTTTGAACACACAGCTTCTAATGGGGCCCGCTGTGTTCATCACTCGTCCCGAGCTGTTGTCCACAACCAGTACCAAGAGACACAAGGGCTGCCTGAGGCTGTGACATAACCTTTCGCAGCTTGTGTCCCCGAGGTGGGCCTTGTCCCAGGTCCTCTGTATGCATGGGCTGCCCTGCTTGGCCATCTGTCGGGACTGTTGGGTGAGGGGACGAGGACTGTTGGGTGACGGGACAACCTCACTTCTCAGTGAGGATGACCCTGGTTTTGGTGGAGATACATGTGGCTCCCAAGGACGGGCCGCCCTGTGCCAGCAGTAACATCCAATCTGGGATACTCACAGTGTTGGGACCCTCGCAGAGTTTCACTGTGAGGGCAAAACCAGAAATAGATGAATTTTTAATGATAGGCCTTAGCCTACGTATCCTGTGCCAGGAACACAGTGGGAAGGAATGGCTACATGCGGAGCCTGCCAGAGCGCGGCCTATCTAGGAAGACCCTGTTTCCAGAGAGGCACAAGGCGGTGATTCTCACTGTTAGTGTGGGACTGACGGCTGAGGACCCCTGAGAGAGTAGTTGTTTGTCGTTTTTCCTTTCGGCCATGCATTTTGCTTCTCTTTCCTCCCGGTTTCCCTGAAACCTAATTAATGGACAGAGTTTGCAGTGGGACTGGACCACGGGCCTTTGAGGGGTTCGGCCTCAGAAGCTGTCAGGGCCCAGGTGGGCATGTGAAGGGAAAGAGCCAGGTATTTCCCGTTCCCCAGGCTTGCCTGAGTGGAGACCCTGGTCTTTGGTCAGCAAACAGTGGTGGCTCTGATTGGGCTCTCTGCGGCAGAGACGGCAGGCCAGTTTTGTCTTGTGGGTCTCTGGGCTGTGCACGTGAAGGGGCTCAGGGAAGACACTGGTATCTCAAGATCGGAGTAGCTGAGCTTTTCTCTCTCTCTGCTTCTGGTTCTTTCTGGGACAGGGAGTGCTTCTCTGTGGGATCCCAGGGGCTGTGCAGCTTGGCCGGAGAGCTTCCTAATACCGGCCTCAAGGGAAGGCAGGTGCCGTGGAGGCAAACCCGGGGCTGTCTCCATAGGATCGTCCTGGGACTCTGAACTGGCCCGGGTGTTTTCATATCAAAGCCAACCTATCCAGCCTGCCCCTTGCCTTTAGCAAACATCAGGGGAAGCTTCCGTGTTCTGGACGTGGGAGGCAGGTGGTTCCCGTTCTGAAGGAGTGTGCAGTCGAGTCATAGGCTGAAGTGAGACCGAAAATTCTGAAAATGATTCTAGGCCAAGTTCTCACCCCTAGGGATCCTCGCTTCATGTCCCTGAAAGGAGATCATTCATTTTTCACTTGAATGCTTCCAGAGGAGAGAAGCTCCCTCTTACTGGGCCTATTTCTAGAAAACATAGTTTGGAAATTCTCCCATCTGTTGAATCAAAGTCTGTATCCCTTGGACTCGCTCCATTTCGTCACAGCTCTGTCCTCCCTCACACACTGAAGGGGACAAACGTCTCCATCATGACAACGGGAAGCTGCCGTTTCCCACAGGAAGTACCTTGTCCTGGACCGGGACCTTTGCCCTTTCTCAGTGGGTAGCTCCCAGCATGTAACCATACCCCAGTTCCCAATTGTTTTAGGATTTAAAATAGTAAACCGTGCTGCCCTGGGGATCCCACAGTCTCCTTGTATAAAGTGTGCTGAGGGACGCTCTTCCCGTGCAGGAGAGAAGCCACAATCGGGAGCAGTTGACCCGTGCCTGAGTCTGGCTTGAGGAGTTTGTTTGAGGAGTCATTCGTCAGCCTGAGTTTGTGTCGGGGCAGGGTGCAGTGTCAGGGCCATAAGGGCTGTTTCTGCATTCAAAGAGCTAACAGATCAGAGACGTAAAGTACATACGCAGGACAGAATTCCAGCCAGATGAGAGTACTGTGAAATCAGCCCGCGGAAAGTTCCGTGCTCCGTGTCCTGGAGGCAGGCTCCGGGTTGTCCTGGGCTTGAGCCAGCAGCACCAGTTGCCTGGGGGACGCCTCAGTGTCTCTGCTTCTGAGGAATAGGTGACACCCCCTAGCCCGGAAGGGGACTGTCCCCGAGGCATGCCCATTTGCCCGAAAACAATGGCCACCTATATAGAGGAAATTAGCCATTTATAGGCGGTATGTTCTGAAGCCATCTCTTTTGAAAACAAAATTAAAAGGAAGGAACATAATTTGCGGGAGGGCTGTCAACAGGAGTTAGGATGTGCTGTTCTCTCTCCACAGTACCCACAATTCAAGATCTCGTCGGAAGAAACAGAAAGGCCTGTTGAGATGAGGGGACCAGGAAAGGATCAGCTCTGGTGTTAGGAGCCCTTTGGGAAAATAACCTGGTACTGAGGGGTGCCCTCGTGTTCCGCTTCGCCCTGGGGGGCTGCCACTTTTCAGAAGCCCCCACACTGTCCAGCCTCTTCATGGACCTCTTCCCAGTCATGTCTTCCCGTCTCCGTTGTAACCTCTGGGACACTGACCGCATTCTCCCTCCTTCAGTGTGTGACACCCCCGGCTTTCTGTCTTACACACCAGCTCCTCTGTTGCACCTGCTGCGAGGTCTTGACACACCCCCACCCCCAGCGGTGCAAGTCCTCCTTTTGGGTGTAGCTCCTGCCCTCCAGTCTTCCTCTCATCTCTGGACTTCCTGTCATGTCAGAGACACACGCTTCCTTTCGTGGCCCTGTGCCGTGGCTCCCGCACTGTCTTCTGACTAGAATGCAAAGCCCTTTGGTCGTTTCTGCTCGGCAAAGTCCTGTTCATCCTTTGAGGGTTATTGGAAGGAGCATTCTCTCTGAAATCTTTCTGAAAGAAGCCATTCTTACTCCTGCAGAGTGACTTTGTTTAGGCTGTGAGAGCATCCAGAACCACCACACCCCTTATCTTGTTGCCTTGGAGAAGCGCACATGTCTGGGGAGAGGCCAAGGCTAGACTGTGAGCGCACTGAGACCAGAAATGATCGTTACCTCATTCTTTGTCCTTGGCACCCAGACACACAGAAAATGCACGGTCAATACCTGCTCTCTTAGGATGTGTATTACTTACAGGGGTCCCAGAGGGTTCTTTCTGATCTGAGCGGTTGGGGTGCAGGCAGTGAGGGTGCCTGGCTCTTGATGACAGAGCTCTCCCGTAGACCGACCCAAAACACGGTACAGGCCTCTTGGTGCCCAGTGAGGGGCGCTACTTCTTCAACCCTCCCCACTTGGCCTGCAGTCCCAACTCTGAGCAGCAGTTCCTCAAGGTTCCATGCTCCTCTCTCCTGCATTTATGCTATGGAATGGTAAAATGGGAGCTGTTGGGATCTACTTCCAAAAACGTACGGCTGTAGGGGACTCCTCTGTTAGGACAGAGACAGCAACTTGGTATAGATGTAAATATGCCAGCGACAAAAGGCACAGCCCTTGACTTAGTGAAGGGAAGAGAGAACAGTCTTCACCCTGTGTCGTTCAGTTCCTTCACGTGAAGAGGTTTCCTGTGGGGCATTTGTCTATAATTAGATACAAGTCCTGTGTCCTTATGTAGACACGCTCCTAGACTGAGGGGTAAAAATGCCTAACAATGCCTCTCCTTGTATGGATTTTATGTTCCTTGGGGGTTGGGTAGGAGGGTGTCTAGAAGAGCACTGGACTTGGAGTCTGGAAACTGGGTTCTGCAAGGTGGCATCGGGCAGTCCAGCCAGATTTGAGAACCAGTCGTTTCCAGGTTCTGTTGTGGCCCTTCTAGGCCAGAGGGGGTGGGGAATCGATGACACCACCTGTAGACGGTGCCACCGGAGATGTGGAAGGAAGACCCCGCCTTCATGGCCGGCGTGCCCAAGAATCAGTCTAACGGAGGCCCCAGTGTGCGTGCCAGGAATCCCACCTTCATGCCACTTCTTTCTTGCAGTTTGAAAAAGAACTTCAGAGAATTTCAGAAGCCTATGAGAGCCTGGTCAAGTCCACTACCAAGCGGGAATCACTGGACAAGGCGATGAGAAACAAACTGGAAGGGGAGATCCGGAGGCTTCATGACTTCAACAGAGACCTCCGAGGCACGTCTGGCCCCATCCGTGTGTTCCCTGCCCTAGACTCCCCTGGAGCTGGCGGCCTGCTTTCCGGGCCACGCTGTGTCCAGTAATCTTGGGAAGTCCAACCATCTGGGGCAGGGGTGTTCAAAGAGCAGGACTGTTCTTTTCTCCAGTATAGATTGTGGGTTGTGGGTTGCTGCCTTGGGCCTGAGAAGTGGCACCTTCTAGGCACGAGTCCGTGAAAGTGAGGGAGCGTGTGTGCAGCTCCTTCCCTGCTTTTAAGGGTCTGTATCAAACTGACTCCGTAAAATAAAAATAGAACTTCAAAATTGAAAAAAATAATAATAAAATAAAAGTACTTAGCGTGATTTGTGACTCTGCGAAGAAGAATGTTTGAAAAGACCAGTGTTGGATGCCCAGCCCTTCCCACATCAGGCTGAGTCATTTGGTAGCCTTCTTTGAAAGCCATCAGTCAGCTCTCGCTAGATAGAGTATAGAAGACAGAGCTAGACAGCATTCTCTTGGAGGAAAAAGACAAAGCCCCCAGTTGTGAAAAGAGTAGATATATATAAACCCCCTGAAAGTTGGAAGCCACCTGCTGTAGGATGTTGGCAGTCTCCAACGAAGAATGACTTAAGCCATAACATTTTACTTGTCTCTCAGTGAGCTAAGCCACTTTTCAGTTGCCTCGTCAGCGAAAATAACATACTGATGGTCTCCAGTGGCTAGAGCCTACATTTCCCATTACCACAAGTCCTTTTGTCTTGGGAATCACGGACATTCCTTACAGACTTACCAAACTGAATTATTGAATTGAATAAATGAAGATTTACCAAGTGGTTTGAGCAAACGTAGAACTCTCTAGGTAGAATCTCTATCCATTTTGACTTTTCAAAAAAAAATTTGATTTTTAGTTCATTCTTATTTCTGTTTTTGGCTTCCCAGCTGCCCGTAGCAGCACAGGCTAACCGTAGGGCTGGTGGTCAGGGATAGACTAGGACTGGGTCTGAGGCCAAGGACACTTAGCTCCTTTTCAAGGACTTCTGAACAGAGGTTTTCTGGCCTTGCACATAGCTATATGATTCTTCTCAGAACCCGTGCTCCTGCTGCTGACCTCAGATTTTATTTAATTTAATTAATTTATTTATTTGAGAGAGAGAATGAGAGCGAGTAAGCATGAGAAGGGGAAGGTCAGAGGGAGAAGCAGACCCCCCTGCTAAGCAGGGAGCCTGATGTGGGACTCGATCCCGGGACTCTAGGATCATGACCTGAGCTGAAGGCAGTCGCTCAAAACAACTGAGCCACCCGGGCACCCCAACCCCAGATTTTAGAACCTAGTCCTCTCGCCAAGAGGGATTCGGCTTGGGGCTCCTGGCACCCATGTCGTTTCTTGCTGGGCTGGTGACTTTGGGTCTACATGCACATCTTTGTGACCATGTCTTCTGTGTGCATAGATCGCCTGGAGACGGCCAACAGGCAGCTGTCCAGCAGGGAATATGACGGGCACGAAGACAGAGCTGCAGAGGGGCTCTACGCTTCCCAGAGTGAGTCTCCACGTTTCTCTGTCCCATGTTGGTATTCTTAAAAACTGGGGGCCTGAGGAAGGTATCTTGTTAACTTTAAGTAGATTTCTAAGTAGGTGGTTTGCCTCTTGTGTGTTCCATGTCACCTAAAGGCTGCTGGGCCTTGGAGGAGGCCTTCCTAGGTCTGCCAGACATAAAACCAAGGTTTATTTCTCTTATTTCAGCAATGTTTATATTCCGTATTTCTGACCTACAGTTTCTCTCTGTTTCTCTAGAACATCCTCCAAGAAATAGCAAGGTCACAACCTTTCCCTCCACTCACCCCTTTAAATGAGGCACAATTCTTTTCCTCCACGGAGAGGGAAGGAGGTGCCTGGTGGGATCTGGTCCTCCTGGCATGGTTTTGTGCTCCTTAGGGTGAGCTTTTCCTGGCTGCCCCTTGTAGCATTCAGTCACTGAGGGTCCCACCGTGCATCTCCAGGTGTGGCACTCATTTGCAGAAGACACTGAGCCCAGAATAAAATGATCAGTGGCAACCTGGGCCTCTAGATTTATTGGGAGAATATCTTAGTCTTTTTTACCTGAGGCAAATGATAGAAACAAAGGGGTTTTGAGAAACCATTGGTTAGGGTTTGAATCTCTGCAAATCCAGTGTATGTCACAAGTGTAAAAATTCAACTCTTTTTTTTTAAGCTGTTTAGAAAATTGGATTTATTTTTGTATCGTAATTCTCAACAATATCATGAATCGGGTGTTCACAAACTACAGATAGTTGCTTCCAACAACAGAAAGTCACATGTTCAGGTACTGGCTGTCCCTCGTACGATGGTTTTCTGAGGCTTGGCCCCCAAGTACAGCCCTCCATTCTCAAGGCAGGGAAACAATCAGTTCAATTTTCTAATTTCTAAAACTGTTTGGTTGGGTTCAAGCTCCTTGGTTTCCCCAAAATTTATTCATGGTAGCACTCAGTTATTAGTCTCAGTTTTGTGGTTTAAAATTCTGTTTCGGCAAATGGATGCTAATTCCATCGAGGGATTTTGCCATAGAATCCTTGGGTGTCTTGCAAGTGACTTTGCCTTTGTTCCAGATTTATATAAACAGCAGTCAGCATCTTGAATGATTCAGTTTCCTAAACAAATTTGATCTCTTCTTATGGGCACAGTCCACCCACCCCCTCATCCGAGCTTTCTTTCAAAAGAAGAGTCATTTGTACTCTCTGCATTTAGGATTTTAATACCTGGATTTGGGTGCCCATGTGGGTAAGAGGAGGTGACTTGGCAGTTACGTCAGGAATGTCACCCTGCTGGGACTCTGCCTTCCTATGGGGGATATTATTTTGTCACCTAGCTTGAGTCAGGGTGGAAAAGCCAGTTAGTTTCACCTGAGGGGCCTTTGCTCCTGCCTCCCAGCCCAGACTGTGGTGACGGAATAATAAGGTTTGGGGTTGTGTGAGTTGAGAAGTGTTCCTGAAAACGTTAACCTTCTGGCTGAAAGCTAACACATCAATAATACAGGCCAAGAGGGCCTTCCAAGCTTTACAGGGAATGATTTGTTCTGTGCAAACATGCCTCACTGTGTTCCATAGGCATAAACAAGACGGTCCAGAGGCATTTTTCAACAGCTTAAAGGTATCTCAGTGTTGATGTTTAATGTCATTGAATCTAGGCAGGGCATTTGAAGCAGGTTTGCTACCCGTGATGTCTAACAGATTTTTCAGTTCCTAGTCTTTACATGATATTTGTGCCTTTTCCTCTCCTGGTGTGGCAAGAGATGGACTTGAGATGTTATTTCAGTTTGCAAATAGGTTTTCTTCTCAGTGAATTGTAAGAACTCTTTGTTTATTAAAGAAATTAACATGTCCTCTACTGTATATGTTGCAGGTATTTTCCTCAGTTTTTTAATCTTTGATTACAGTGTTCTTTATGTTATAAGAGATATTTTTAAGTAACCATATTTATGCCTTCCAGGCTTTGTATCATGCTTAGAAATGCTTATTGCTCTCCAAGATTATAAAAAAAATATTCACCTATGTTTTCTTCAGATAGGTTTATGATTTCACTGTTCACAAGGCTTATATTTTTGAAACTAGGTTGGGAGGCACAATAGAAGGCAAACTCAGGAGGGATACTAATTAACAGAGATGTTGTTATCTAGACAAGAGAGGTAGATGTCCTGATGTAAGACAGAAGTAGTGATGGAGGGTAGGGGACAGAGTAGGAAGTGACAAAATTAGTAGGACTCAGTGACCAGTTGAGTAATGGCAGTAAAAGAGCCCGAGAAAGGGGTGTGAGTGAGCAACTGGATGGATGGTCACCCTTTACCAATAAAAAGCAGGAAAACCAGGTTGGGATTAGATAATGAGTAAAGGTTTGAGCATGTTGGGTCATCATGCTCTGCGGCCCACAGCGGAGTAAGCAGGTGTAACAGTTGGTGCGAACATACCCAGAAGCTGGCGACGGGAAGGGCCCTCTGTCAGGCTCTGGCATGTGGGCACATGTGGGCAGGCATGAAGTACCACCCCTCTTCATGGTTATTAGTGTGTTCCATTATCTGTGTGTTCTTTTAGAAACTCTATTATTAGAATTCTTTTTAAATACTTGGTAATCATACTTACAAACGTCTAGTACTCAAAAGGAGCCATCCTTTTCAAGGGAACCTTTGGAGATTCTAGCTCTTGGTAAGAGAAAGCAAGACTGCAGACCAAAGAGAAGTGACTTCTCTGGATAACTCAAGCCAAGGAACTAGGGCTATGTCACAAAGTCCCCAGCAGACACCTTGGCTGATGGAAAAGTTGGAGGGAAGGGGAAAGTAGAGACTGGCCCATTTTAATTTTTGTTAGGTATTCATGTTGAATCTAGGAGTCCAGGGCCAAGAGAGCCCAAGGAACTCTTGCAGTGCAAGTGGTCAGTAGGAGTTCTATAAAGCTCTCTCGGGTGGTAATGGAGGGAGACGGTTCTTTCCGGCCTGATCACTAATATCTCTGTTGCCCAGGGTAGTTTGCCTTTGAAGACTGAACTCTCTGCTCTTATGTTGGAGCCTGATGAAGACCTTGGTAGACTGTCGATGTGGTTACTACTTAGCACTGCAGAGTGAAATGAACATTAAACACAGTGATTATTGTGCCCCCCTTGGTCATGAAATTTGTCCATATTGGAAATCGCACTGGGGGTGCCTGGGTGGCTCATTCCATTAAGCATCTGCTTTTGGCTCAGGTCATGATCCCAAGGTCCTGAGATTGAGCCCCACATCAGGCTCCCCACTCAGTGGGGAGCCTGCTTCTCCCTCTGCCCTCTGCCTTCTGCCCCTCCCCCCTGCTTTTGCACACCCTCTCTCTTTCTCGCATGTGTGTGCATGCCCTGCGTCTGTCTCTCAAATAAATAAATAAAATCTTAAAAAATAAAAATAAAAATCACACTGAATTAAGTGCTTAGGGGTTTGATGACTGAGGGTTTTTTTTCCTCTATCACCTCATGGACTTGTGTCACACACTTTAGAGAAATTTGGTTCTATTTTATTTTCTGGGCTTGCTTGTTTATTTTTCTGAATATTTTTGCAATGAAATTGCTCCTGGAAAACGGGGCATCGAGCCAATCCCTGTTTTGTCTGTCTATGTGAAACTGGGGCTTCTTTGTCCTTTAACCTCTAACTTACTGAGATCCCTGGTTTTCCCATCCATTTGTCTCCCACGCACGTGCTCTCGTGTGTATCCTCACACACACACCGACACAGAGCAGAGGTGGGCCGCTGTCCACTAAAGGCAGCGCCCCAGGAATGTCTGTCGTCACTCTTAGCTCTGTCGTCTCAGTGAGTACAACCGCTTTAACTCTTCCTTTCTGAAAATGGATAACTCTGCAGAATTCCCATACCATTAGGCCAGAAAGCCAAAAGTAAAATATTAGATGCAGGGAAACTAGACTGGTAGAGATGATCGTCTCACATTCTCGGGTTGAGTGGGAGCTGATGAGCTGAGGTGTGCGTGTGTTATTCCAGGCTGAAACTAGCCACATTTCATGGTGTGCGAGAACTTGTCTCTACCACCCATTTGGGATTCCTTAGGCCCTCCAGGTTCAGCATATTTGGTTAAACTTTAGTCTGTGTAGTTAGATTCTGGCTGTTAAATGGTTTCCCTCTGTCATTAAAAAAAAAAAAAAAAATGTTTTGGACATTCAGTTATTTGTCCAAGTTGTTGAGTAATGGCCGTAAATAAGTCAGAACCATATGGGTTTGATTTCTCGGTGGGTTTGGAAATTGATACAAAAACATGTCTGTGACCAACCTATTTTAAAATTACAGCAATTTGCCATTTTCCGTGTGTCTTGTAATCATCCTCTTATTCTTGATCCTGTTTGAGGTACTTTGATTTTCTGTCTCTCATAGAATATGAAAGAGACTGATTCAATTTCCTGCAAGACCCTTCCTCTGGTGTTTGTGGTTTCTGGAAGGGCTTGCATGAAACACAAAACAGAAGTTTCAGTGACATAAACACTGGTTCCGTTGACCCACATAGAGTGCAAGGAGATTGTTCTGACTCCTCACTGGGTGTCATGACATCACATGGTAGGTTTCCATTGGGCTTCATTAGGAAGGACAGGAGAGAAGTTGTTACCTTTCCTCAGGGCCTGCCTGTGCTTACAGCTTCTCCCGACTTGGAGAGGAGCCGACTACAGCGCTTACTTCACCTGCGCTCCCTGTGGCTGTGATTTCTTTGCATGGATCCCCTCCTCTAGGTGGGAGAACTGTAGACATTCTTCACTGATAGCCACAGTACCCACCCCCAACCCTCACTAAAAGCCCTGGAACCTTTTTATGTACTTGGCACTCAATAAATGTGTATTGAGGGAAGGAATAAAAGTGGAAAAATCCTCGTAACAATAGGCTGGAAATTCTCCTTCTGCAGCATCAGTATCAAAATGCGCTCTTTAGCTCAGTATCTCCCAGTCGTATTTGGAGATAACGCGGGTTATCCTCAGTTACTTTAAGACATTAGGCAAATTAGTAAAAGAACTGTCAGAATAGAAGCA